TATATATATATATATATTTTTGGTACAGGGACCTTCCGGTTTCACTATATTTGATTGAATAAATTAATGAAATAATAGAAGCATGTAACCAATAGGTATTTATTAATTTGTGCAATTCTTCCATCCTTTAATTTTCCGTTTTCGTAGTATGTAACTTCTCACAATTTTAAAACTCTTTAGGGAGAGCTTTGCCGCTCTTGTGGACCTACCCAACTCAATTCCGAATTAGTCGGTTCCCATGTAGATCCGGAATCCGAAAAGTCCATGTACCAAAAAAAATTGATCATATATATTGACCCATTTATCGGTCCACTGAAAATTAAATATTGAGAGATCAATTCACTAAATTTTAGAATATGGAGTGATCCATAATGCCATTTTATTTAATAAGAAAATTGTATATAACTTCGTGTGTGTGTAAAATGTATTGCTTATGATATTTCAATTAATCAACAAAAATATTAATTTTAAACATTGAGAAACTTGAGGATAATATTAACCAATATTTTGAATTTTGGTTGGATGTTTAATGGGACATCATGGCAAATAAAATTTATAATTTATGAATTTAAAACAGTTTTGGCTGAAAATCTAAATTTAAGGCGGGATTTGGATTTTTCTTGTAAAAATATTCTTAAATTAACTAGTTTTTTTAAATGATTGAACTACTACTAACGAACTAGCTAAATTGTAAACTTGGTCCCGTTAGATAGATGTGGCCAAAACTTGGTTCCATGCCGTGTTTTTGGCGGTCTGAACCGACCGGATAACATATACGGGTCAGTTCAATGAACCGGTGGTTCCGGTTTTTAAACGGTCTGCTGATTCCGCGCCGAACCAATAAATAAAAAATAAATAAAAAATTAAATAAAAAAATTGCCAGGACTGCTGGTTCTGGTTTCGGTTCGTACCTGGAACCAGTTGTTCAAATTATTAAAAATCATGAATCTGAAGCGGCCCGAGTAAAACCACGGGTCGATTCAAGACCTGTGATCAACATGCTTGATCGGATCGGTTCGTCTGTGGACATGTCTATTGTTAGATTATGAATGTAGCAGCCAGTAACTGATGTAGAGGAATACCCTTTTTTCCCAGCATGAATTAATCCATGCCAAGATGTCAATTACACATTTCCTTCACTTCGCTTCTAAAGTAGAGTCTCACAAGTCTCATTGTAGTGATATACAACATTTTGAATCATGTAATTTAAAATTTTGCTATAATTTCAGTCATTGGCCGTTAAAATTCTCAGTTAATATATTTGAAATGAATTATGATTAGTATTTAAGTTCTTAATTTAAAATTTTGCTGCAATGCCAATCATTTGACCGTTAGAATTGGAAGTGAACCTAAATTTCTACATTCATAGTTTAATAGGACCAAAATAATGTTACCTCTTAGATAGGACCAAAATTATAATTTAATCAGTGAACTAAATTTGTTACTTTTTAAAATTCTCCTTAATTAGATTTAAAAAAAAACAGAGAGATGTTATGGTTCCGTTACGGAACCATCTTGTCGGGAGTTTTAATCGTTACTAACTACATGTATATCCAACGGTTAAAACTTTCTACAGAATGGTTCGATAACAAGAAAGTAACATTTGCCAATAGCAAAAAACACAAACTTGTCCAAAAAGAAAGATTGCTTAATTTGCCCTATCCCCACCATTCATATAGTTCCCACTCATTATGTTTGTTGCTTAAAGCTTGCACTCACTCACTCATTTCTCTCTCTACAAACAAAAACAAGCACTGCTGCCAGCTAATCATCATCTTTTAGAGAGAGAAAACGACACATACATTGACACACAGAGATAAAAATCCAAGCCATCCCCAAAAACAAAGGAAAAAAAAACTTTTCTCTCTCTCTCTCTATTTTTTCCCCCTTTTATTTTTTTTTTAAAAAAAGAACCACAAAATTTGTCCCTCAGGCAACTGTATATGGACGCCGGCGATGGAAATCCCACACACAGACCCAATTTCCCCTTACAGCTCCTCGAGAAACGAGATCCGCGTCCGGCCCACGACCCGGGCCCGATTTTCGCCGCCGGCGGCGGCGAAAACTCGTCGAAGAAGCCCCCGCCCAAGCGGGCCTCCACCAAGGACCGCCACACCAAGGTCGACGGCCGCGGGCGACGGATCCGGATGCCGGCAACCTGCGCCGCCCGGGTCTTCCAGCTCACCCGCGAGCTCGGCCACCGGTCCGACGGCGAGACCATCGAGTGGCTCCTCCAGCAGGCGGAGCCGGCAGTAATCGCCGCCACCGGCACCGGTACCATACCGGCCAACCTCGCCACGCTTAACATCTCCGCGCGGAGCTCCGGCGCCACCCTCTCCGCCCCGTCCCACCTGAGGGGCGGCGCCGCCGCCTTCGGAGGTCTCCAGACGGTGCCGTTCAGGGGCAGGGGCGAGGATCCTTACTGGGAGAGGGCGCTCTTGTCGGGCCACGAGAATCTGCTCAGCTTTTCCAGCGCGGTCGCCAAGCGGGAGCGGCGACCGGAGGAGGATCTCTCGGCCCAGATGGGGGGAGGGTATATGGTGCAGTCGACCGCGGGTTCGATTCCGGCGACACAGGGGCAGACTCCGGCGACGACGTTTCTGCAGGTAATGGGCGCCGGCGCCGGCGGGCAGATG